CATTCAAAAGATCATAAATATGTTGTGTGAAAGATAACAGATTTGTAATAGTGGATCTCTTAGAGACAAAACGATGCTGATAAATGAATATATCACTTGCAACCCTGCTGTAAAGAATCTCGCAAATACATATTTCAAATATTTTCGAAAAGTTATTAATAATGGAAATTGGGCGATAATTTTCCACCTTATCCTTATCGCCTTTCTTATAGACAGGAAAAATTTTGGTAGTTTTCCATACTTCTGGGAAAATACCACTAGATAAGGTCTGATTAAAAATAATTAATAACGGTTCAATTAAAACTTGCGAGAGCTTCTTCACAGCAAATGCTGGAATAAGGTCAAACGTGAACAAAATAAGAACAAACGCAGGACGGAACGGCGTCGGAAAGCCTACGAAGAACAATTGCGTAACCCTGATATCTAAGTTCCATTACCAGTGGCAAGTTGTTCATTACCGTCAACAATAAAGCAAGCATCCGAGATTCGTCTCACCAGCGGCCAGATTCCCCGTACGCCCTCTCTCGAAACAACGTCAGTGGCCACGAGAATAAAGAACAAACCAACAAAAATTCCCGTATACTTGACTCTTGGAAATGAGATTTCGGCTTTAGTTCCTGAATCCGAAAAACTTCCAGTTTCGAACGATGAAACGAGGTCTCAACTGCCGGTATCCGTCAGTGAATTTCCCATGCCAATAGCCCTCGACATCCCGTGTGACGAAAATACAGTCTCAAAAACATTAGTTTTTACAAGTGCCCCCGACAGCCCGAGTGTCGTGAATATCGTCTCAGAAGCTTCGTTTTCAACGAGTGCTCTTATCAATCCCAGTGTCGCGAACATCGACTCAGAAACTCTGCCTTCTGCAGCGATTATTCACGAGAAATCAAGTGCTCAGTCCATTGTTCTGACAATATTAAATCCCATGTACGGTGTTCCAATTTCGACAGTGATTAATCTCGAAAAACTTCATACCCTGGTTAAAGTTATGAACTCATTCCCCATTCTCAATCCGATCGACGATACGGAAAAATTAGTCTACACAATTGAAGAGGCAATTCGCCTTTTGTCCTCGCATCGCTCGGAAACAGCGACGAAGGAGTCGACTATGGAGGAGGAGGACATGGATATCCTCGAACTTCACACTTCGCCGGTAAAAATCTCCCTGCCTAAACTCGTTTTCTTCCAATCAGGAGATCCGAGTCACCCCCAGACCAAAAAACTACCACAGTCTCAACGTTCCTCCCACTCACAAAACGACTCGACATGAAAAATCAGGACGGAAAAGGGCAGTTTGCGCTTGACCCTAGCTCGATGCAGTCCGGAAGAAAAAACATTTTCTGCTAAGCAGGAGGTTCTAAGAGTATGGAAGAAGGCCCAGATAAAAGAAGCCCACGGAGATCCTGAAAACTTGGAAAGGCCAAAGCCCCCACGAAGAAGGTCACCAGAAAAACATCTGACTAGGAAATCTTTTTCTCCACGTCAATCACCAAAGGAAAAGAAAAAAAGATCAAAACATCCAAGGAGAAAGTCGCGGATCCTGAGAAAAAGAAAAAAGAGAAAAAATCGAAGCAGAAATCCTTAAGTTCCGAAAAGAAGAAGAGTTATTGGTCGAGCCCGACAAAACCAGGAGCGCGACCAAGCACCTACAAAACTCCCAAAAGGTATCGACCTTCGCTAGAATAAGCTTTAGCACCCGCGACAACTGCGCGCAGCGTTTTATTTTAAGTATCTCATTTATTTCCCGTTTAATTATTACATTTTTTATTTTTTCATAATTTTGTAAAAAAATTAGTTTGTTTTCATTACATAGGAAGAATTTTTTTTTGCACCTAAATATTTGGGTTGTTAAACCAAAGACACATGTGAGGAGTGACATTTATAATGCTTGTGAGATTCTTTAGATTTTATTTAAAGATAGACCCCCAGGATTTGTTGTACAACAAAAAAATAACATCATTTAATTCAAAACATTCTATAAGTGGTCGAGGGCCTCACCAACGAAAGGTACGTGTATGCCGAAGTGTGCTCGCGCGTGTATCCATCCGCTAGCCAATCATAGCGCTCCGCCCTACTCATACGACCGACCGAGCTCGAGACGGATGAAAGATGACTATTCACGGAGCTGCCGACCGGCAAACATCTCTCTGACTCGCGCCTCGTTCTCCCCCATTTTTATAAAACAAAATTTCTTAATGTGTTCTCAATAAAAGTAAGAATTGAAAGGTTTCTTTTGTTCAGTTCTTTTTGTTGGTTTTTACCGCCTTTTCAAAATAGTTTCTAAATCGTTTGATCCGCGCAATTTGGACTCATCGAGGAATCTAGGCTTCATCTTGGGGGACTCGTCAAGACCGAATTGTTCATCGAATCACTTCAAGATACCTCCCAAGGATCTAACAAAGACCGTCTCCCTTCTTTCCTTCGCTCGATATTTCCAAGTTACCTCCGACGGGAATCAGGAAGATTGAGTCCTTTCGTTTACCTTAAATCTAAGGTCCCACTGTCAGGGCCCAGAAAAACGTTTATTACAACAACTTTTCGGTCTAATTAAGATACCTGGCTCGGGATCTGAAGGGAATTAGTTTTCTTCTTTTCTTTACTCAATTTTTTTTCAAGGTACCTTCTCGGGACCACAGAAAAAAGTAAAAAGAATCTTCTCCTTGGCTCACCACTCCTCCATGATACCACCTACTGGGATCAGGGACACACTTAATCGCATCTTTAACACCTATATTTTCCTCTTTACTTATCCCTAATTTTTTTTCCAAGATACCTTCACGGGATCTGGGCAAACTTTCCAAGTCCAATTCTTCCCTATTTCGACAAATCAAACTCTTCAAGATCCCTCCTCGGGATCCGAAGAATTTTATCAACGAGTTCCTGTACGGGTTGACAGGAGTTGTGAATTGCTTCATACTAGTCTCTTTGGTCATGTCTTATGGGGCATTCATGCTCTTTTACATTATTTGTCATTTGGAAAATCGCTGCACGGTATTTAAAGATGTTTCCAAGTTTTCCATGTGAGAGAGTCCGTACCTATTTTTTATTTATCCGCGAATATTAATAAATTGACCCAAAATTTTTCATTAAGGCAGTAGTGTCCTTTAGAAGGCAAAAAAATGCGTTTCGTCAGGAATTTTTTTTAAAGGGAAGGAAATGATTGCGGTAAACGAAATTTTTGGGTGATATTCTACTATATTTGAGCTTCCAAAACCAACTTTTATTTTAAAATAATATTTAAATTCTTCTTATTAACAACGATTTTTGTGGAGCGCTGCAGTCTGTATTTTTAAAACGGTGCCGGTGATAGAGGTCGCACGATGCATCTGAAACAGTCAAACCAAATTTTTTTTACTTTTTATAAGTGTCTTTTCTATTTGAACTAAAAAAAAACCAAAGAAATTAAAAAATTCCAAATTTTTTCGAAGTTTGAAAAAAAGTTAACTTTTTTTTAAAAAAATCCACTTTAAGGTGCAAAAAAAATAGTTTTAATAATACTTTTGTCCAACTATTTTAATTCAAATAGAAGATAATTTAATACTGAAGCGAGAACACTTTGGTTTTTTTCAATCGGACAAAAATTTTTTTTGCTATCACCGGCACCGTTTTCTATGACGTGTGAAAATGAAAATTCGAGAAAAAGCGATTTAAAGTTTTAGGTCTAAAAAATACAATTTTTAGGATACTTACACTAATTAAATTTTAATCAGCTATTCCTGGCCCATATAGTAGTCCTTTCTCTTCTTCGAAGAACTCATTTTGTCGAAGATTTTCTTCTCGTCGAGCTGTCCGAGCTTCCTTGCTCCAAAATGACGAGCGCCGGTTTTCCCTCGTTATGCGCTCCGCATCGATATTATCGGCAAAATTTTTGCATTGCTGCCCGATAACAATATCGAGCAGCTGCATAGTGGTCAGCACAGAATGCATAGGCCTTGTTAAAAATGCCTGCAGCCAAATTTGCCGCTATTTCGACGATTTTAGAGCCGGACTTGACGTGTTTTGGGTTTAGGCGCCACATAAGCGAATTGAACGATTCGTTAGAATTTTGAGTGTGTGTATACACCTTTTCAGGTGTATACAAGGTGATACAAGGTTAGGTAAACAATATAACGCATGTAGGGGCGGTGCGCGCGCGTTGGGATCTGCCCGAGCATTCACACGTGCTCGACGATTGGTCACAAAATCTGATCTATCTTCGAGAATATGTCAAATTGGCCTCTAAAATTTTAAAGACATATTCTTGGAAAGTTTTGGAATAGATTTAAGACAAAATAAAAAAGTCGATTTTTTAAGCTTATAAAGGAGACTACTGCCTTAACATAATGATTCGTGGTGCTTGTACAAACAAGCAAAGAGCAATAGAGAAGTATATAACAGTGGCAATGACCATTTTCATTTAGGAAAAGCCACAATGGATACAATAGAACCGACATAATAATATTATATTATAAACTATAATCATATTATGTTGATCTCGTGGATCCTAATTTACTTTCGAAATGTTTACACGAAAATACGCAAAATGTTAATGAGCGTTATAAAATAGTGATGAGAATATTTATCGCTGCAGAACTCTAGAAGAACTTTAAATCACACCTGGTGTAAAAAGAGAAATTTTTTTTATAAAGATTAGACAGGACAGATTTTTGTAAGGCACTTCTAATATTCAGAAAAGGTTGTATAGTCTTATTTTATTCGCATTTGAGTCTACTTTTAAAAATAATATAAATTTTTTTTTAATTTTTCGACTTAGGGATCTCCTCAACCTGAGAAGTATTAACTTTTTAAAGTTTTACATTCCTCAGGGTAAGTTTAATTATCCTTTTTTCTCCGCGTGCAATCTTTCTTTTTGAGTTTATACTGTAGTGTAACGTAATTTTCTTAACTACAACTCTTTATACATTGTGTAATGTGTTTACACATTTCATAAGTATCACTGATCTATTGATTATTTTAGTGCCTATAAAAAATCAAGAATATTAAGTGTATTAAAAACTCACCATTGTTTGATGTATGCTTTGTCAACAGTAAATATTGGTACAGATGTTCTATTGGTATCTGTACCGTTGAGGTTGCTTTCAGTGTCATTCATCTCCATTCACACTTTTCAGTATCACAAACGATGGAAACAATTTTCGAACTTATTCCACCATCCAGTTTAGTATGCAGTTGTCTCTGCTTTTTTCTGAAACAATCATTATTTCAGGTTTTACTAAAAGTTAGTAAAATATACGGAAACTAGAAAAAATTATTTTCATTATTCAAAAATGAAATATTACAAGTATATCAAACTACAAACTCGGTAATAAGTTTGTAAAAATAACAGAGGCCTTATATATCGTTCTGCTATACGGAAACACAATTTCTAGAGTCTAATTACAAGACTTCTATCTTTCTAGCTCTTTGGGACATCGTATTATAAATATTCGTATTCAACGCTAATTAACCATATTATAAGTCATTTTATTTGTTTTGTTTATATAAGGAAGAAGATAGCTGGCGTGAAAACCGAACACGAAAACTGTTTCTTATTTTCACAGCACTGCAAGCGAGAAAGTCGGAAACACTCTATATTAAATTTCGTACAATTTGAATTCCTCAATTCTACGTTCCAAACTCTGGAATTTAGATCGCTGTATATGACAAAATAATTTGATTGTCCAGGTTTAGAAACGTCTAAAATAGAAACAATCAAAAGTGCGCTATACTCATATTATCCAAACTTTTAAAATGTGATTGAATGTGATAGTAGGGGAGTGTGTCTAGTTGTGAGACGGGTTTTATTTTGGACCAATAAATAGTAAACGGGTAAATGAAAATGTAGATAAAATACTGTTCAAAAATATTGCTTGTTAAAAAATCGACTGTCTCACAACTGGAGCCGTCTTACAACTAGATAATTTTCGTTGTATTCCTAACAGCAACAGACATTCAAGGATATCCTACGTACGTCCTAGTCATGCCTAGAAATTTAAATATCCCTAAGATGTCTTGAAGATATCTCAGGACATCCCTGGAACATCCGTAGCTTGTGCATTACACCCTAATGCTTTAATGCCTTCTTTCCGGTTTTGACGGCTTTTTAAAAAGTCATGACACATCTATAAAAATGTTGTTAGTTCGCGACGTATAAGTTCGTTCATACGTCACAAAGTAACTAAATTTTGATAGATATGTCACGACTTTTTAAAACAGCGTCAAAACCGGAAGTAAGGCATTAAAGCATCAGGGTGTACAAAAATTGAAGGAAATAGACAGGATGTCTCCTGAGTCAATGAATCGTAACATAAACACCAAACCATTGTCGGCAAAATTACTTGTTCTCCTATTTCCCCATTCTTCAAATCCAACCACTTTAACAGATGTTGCATTATAATGCAATCCTAATTCTAAAAGCAACTTGTCCCACATAATAGCAACAGCCTTTCCTTTTTCATATCGAAGTTTACTAGCAGCAAATTTTAACCTTTTTCTAACTTTGTCCGTGACTCCACAATCCATATTTATATTGCGCATTAATTTCTTTAATTCAATGAGGTCCAAAAAACCTCATTTTTCGACTCGTAAACTGTGGTTCGTTTTCACTAAGCGGGCGGGGGTAATCGAATCGTTGGAAAACCTCTATTTACAGAATTTTCACTAGCCGAGTAGTGGTTGAACTTCCTATAGCAAACGCCTCGACCCATAGAGAACATAAATCTGTCACAATCATCATATAATTCTTGGTTGTCTGGGACTTTAAGATGAAATTTGGGAGGTCCAAAACTGTTTACAAGAGTTGCATAATTGACAGGCGCGCACATAATCCTTAACCTGCTCGCTCATTTCCACACAAGGGAATGGTTATTTGACAGAGCACAGCACTCATCCCTAGTTTACTGGGCGTCGTCTGAAGTTGAAGCGTAAACTTGGGATCGGGCCGAGCTAATTGTAAGTCGGTACTAAAGATGTTTTTTACATGTTAGAAAGCAACGTCAGCCTCCTTTGTCCAAATACATCTCTTATTTTTTAGCAAGTCATTAGCTGCGACGTTACTTCAGAGAAAGATGGGATGAATTGACGGACCCAGTTATTCCAGAAATGGCGAATGACCTAAATAACAAACTTCTTTCTGCCCTAAGGAACATTTGCTCGGCGAGCAGTACAGGAGCGGGAATCGGAGTCAGCGCCATGAAAACTGCTACTACTAAACACTACTTAACTACTATCAGAAAGTAGTTTTAGTATAGGCTAGAAATAGAATTTAACATTTAGCCCCATCCGTTTAACATTTACCCCCAACATGGGGCTAAATGTAAAAAACATAATTTTCAAAAAAGGACAAAACATATATTTTATGTGAAAATATAAGAAACTTTTTTATTGAAAGTTGTTGAGGGCAAGTTGCCCTACAATATTGATCTGTACATATTTGCATCTAAGCGGATTTATTGTTTAAAAAATAATTTATGCAAAATTTAACATTTAGCCCTAGTCTCCCCTATATTTATTATAATAAAAATCGCATATGGTATTTAAAATTGAAGAAAAAAGAATAACTCAGAAAAATCTTTACACGATAAATATAATATGAACAAGTACAAGAGAAAAAATATAATTAAAATTGTATAGAAACAGAAGTAAGAAATGTCAGAGAATTTGACCGGAAAATGGTCAACGAAAGCGCTAGTAAACATCAAGAGAGTTTTAAAAATAATTTTTAAAAAAATTCTGTTACCAATCTTGATTTTTTAACTTCTTTCTCTACTCTCGAAAAGTAGAATTTACGGACTTTCATATAAAATTACTGACTTTTACGGAAAATACTAACTTGCTTCGCGCCCTGAACATACTATTTTCTCTACGAAATTTTTTTTTATGTACATATTAGAGTGTCTTCTAACCGAATATGATGTCAATAAATTATTCAACATATAATTAAAACAAAATATCGTCGGTTGGGTGCAGAAAGGTGCCAATTCAGACTAGTCGTGAAAAACGTGCCGTTTCAAAAAACACGTGAGAAACCTGCCACGTCAGCTGCGATTTGGAAAACATGCCAACTCAGAATAAACGTTCATTTTTTTTATTTTAGGTTGACATTTGGAAGTACAAAAAAATTTGAAGTAAAGATTATAAAGTTGTACAAAATTTTTTTTTTTTTTAGTTGCATTTTGCATAATTGTTATTTTTCTTTGAAAAAGGAATATTTTTACTAATTTATTGAATTAATTTGTTGATTATTTATTATTTGATGAACAACTTCTTTCTTGTACCTAAAATAATAAAAATGAACGTAAATTCTGAGTTGTCGTGTTTTCCAAATCGCAGCTGAAGTGGCAAGTTTTTCACGTGTTTTTTAAAACGGCACGTTTTTCACGACTAGTCTGAATTGGCACCTTTCTGCACCCAACCGACGATATATCGTTAAAATATATTAATTTTAAATATAAAGACGAATAAAGTGTCAAATGTTATTTTAAGGAGGTAAAACAAAGAGTTACAATAAAAGTTGTTTGAAATTTTCCTATACATGCTCCAAAACGTCGTTACTTTGTTTTTTTGGCTGGACAGTTGATGGAATTTTAAAATTTAGTTTTATTCCTGGTTTATTCGAGAATAATTTACTACTGATATTGAATGTTTGTTTATTTACAGCTGGTATAACCCAGTGGGCACAGGGATTCCTTCAAATCTTAAATAGATATTTCTTTCATAACTATTTCTAAGTTGAAACACAGTAATATTATATTAAATTTATTTTAAGTTTAATTTTATTTTTTTTAAATGTGCAGAAATAATGAAAAAATTCCTTCAAAGCTGGGATCGAACTCGGATACCTTGGGCTTAAAGCACTGCGCCTTAAGCACCTCATTCGTTCAAGACAGATATGAACTTCTACAATGTTTACGATCTCACTTGTCAATGAAATGAATTTAACTTAGAAAGATTTCAATGACTTTTACATTCAAGAGTTTCTAAGTTCAAGTTGAACTTAGAAAATTTTTTTTTTCTATTAATTTATAAAAACTGTTCTATTTTGAAAAGTTGAATAAGAAAGGCGTCTTTTAGACATCTTAAAGACATCTAATGGCCAATACATAAACCATTTATAGGGCGACTTTAAGACGTCTTAAATACGTCTTTTGTACAAGTCCAAAAGACGTCCGCAAAAAGACATTCTTAGGACGCGATACTTAAATATCGCTTTTTTGTTTGCTGTAGTAAATCCACTGTTTACAACTCTATCTGTAAAAAGTTTGTTAAAAATGAAAAGTGGCATATAATTATATTTTCTTCATAAAATTTGACATTTTTTAGTTTACTTGTAGCCGGATTAACGACACTGGGGTTTAAGTCGTCTGGAAAATCTGACCACTTCAAATGGAAAAAAAGGATACAGTTGTTTTTGGGTAGAGGACACTCTAATCCTTAAAAAAAATTCCGAAGAAAAACAGTATGTTTAACAAAACCTTTATTAAAACCTTTTTTCTTACATAAAATAAACTCATTTTCCTTTAGATAAGAAATTCTGAATATTTCAGACTGTAATTTTATATATAAAATACATGTAATTTTTTCTGTAAATCACTCAAAATTAATTCTTAAGCTTATACAAATTTATTTAAAATTCTCAAACTTTGGGTTCTTCTAGTACATGATAAGAGGTACAAATTAAAATTTTTTCGAAAGTATTTTCTTCATTTACAAGCTTGATGAATATGTTGTAAATTACCTGTATTAAGTATTTTACGTTTAGATGCTTTAAGAACGCTCTAAACAACCCTGTTTTCGATACTTTCGATAAATATAGATTTTGTTTATGTTTATCTCTACCTACCCAGCCCTAATGTTCACAACTGTTTGCTATTTACAGCAAAGTGTCAAAAATGGCAAACGACAATTTGTTTCTCCGCTTTAACAATTTTCTAGTTAGGGATGTTGATTCTTAAATTGTTAAAAATAAACTACCAAGTAAGAAAACAAGTTTTGAAAGTACTGTTCTTTAATATGCGTCATTTAAAGTGAAATTTACAAGAAAGTCTATCTTTAGTGGCAAAAAAAGTTGAAAAACTATATTATGATTGTCGATCAATACAAAAAAATGCTGGAATAAAGAAAAATGAAGAAAATAAATTTTTTAAAAAAAGAATCGACTTTTAAAATTGATATTAATTTGTTGTTTGACATTGTTCCGTCTCAAAC